CACGAGCGGCCTGGTGCAGATAGCGCAGTCGGGTCTGTATCTGTGCCCGACGACCGAGCTCTGCGGGCTCTACTCGGCCGAGGCGACGCCGCTACCGTACCTGCCGTCGCAGTCGCCGCTCAACTTTACGAATGGGACAGCGACCTTCTTCACGCGCAACGTGACGCTGCCTGTTGGCGACTATGCGGCGTTCGTGCTCACAACGCTGCAAGGACTCCAGCTGCCCAACACGTCTGTGCGTGTCGACCTCGTGAGCTACACGCTGGTTCGCGTTCCCGCGCCAGTCGAACCGCCGCTGCTCTCGACAACGGAGTACGTGTACATTGGCGTCGGGGCCACTCTCGCCGTGCTCGCACTCGTCTTCTTGGCCGTCTGTCTTTGCCGTCGCCGCCGCCGCAAGCAGCACGCAGAACAGGTCATGGCGGCGTATGCCCGCGCAAACACCCGCGTCTCGAACCAACGACCAAGTCCCCGGCGCGTGCTGTCCCTGCGGCGGTCAGGTCGCATGAGTCCACGGCAAGTGCTTTCCCAGCGGCAGTCGGGGCGAAGTAGCAGTCACGGGTACCGCCACCACGGCTCGGTCATTCGCCTCGGGCACTCGCCGTACGTGCAAGCGCCGATCCCGCTTCCAACGACATCCTCCTCCTCGGTATCGTTGTTTTCAAACGAGATGGACTTGGTCAATTTCGCGCCCTCGCCATGGCATCACGGCCAGTCGGACATCATGTACAGTCGGCACTCGGACAGCGGCTCGTCGCCCGTCGACTCGACCGAAGGCTACTACACCGAGACTTCCTTCTCGTCGCCGTCACACGGTATCACCGCGTACCGTATTTAATGAACTTAACTCATCTAGTATACTCGTGTCCATCGTTTTTATATAGCCATGTTCGGTTGGCGCACATGTTGCCAACAATATAAGCTACGCCAAGGGACATCATTTATATATCCCTTGGCTGGGTTTGTGGAGAAAAGCAACAGACGTGACCGACGATTTCGATTGTACTATGCAGATGATCCACCGATCGGCGCAGTCATACTTGAATCGTTGTCACCGAGTCGGAGAGCGACCGCTTCGGCGGTGTCAGTCGAGCCTTCTCGACATCGTCGGCGTCGGAGGCCTTGGTGGGCGAGCTCAAAATCACGAGTGCCGTCCCCGCCAGCACGAGGAGGCCGCCACCGAGCGTGAGCAGGCCTACGGCGTATCCTCAGCGTCCCATTCCAAAAAACACTCCGATCAAGAGAGATGGTACCTGGGATCGCTTCGACCTGCGCGAGAATACCGATGACGGTCGCGATGATGGGTTCGAGGAGCATCACCATCGAGATCACGATCGGCTCGAAATAGTAGAGGCCGCGGACGTAGCCCATGGTGCCAATGAAATCGCAGACGAACACAATGTAGAGGGCGACTGGGAGGCGGTTTGCCGCCGGCGTCATCCAGCCGTAGAGACCGACCGTGGGGTCCATCGAGAGCTCGAGGGGTACGCCCATGCACACGAGGAGCGTGAGGAGGATGCCGGCGCCAATGAGGTCGAGGTAGTACATGAACACCATGAGGTCGACGTTGGGGCGGAGGCGCTCGGCCTGCGTGAGGTAGAGGACGCCGCCGATGGCGCCGAGGAAGGCCACGAAATCGCCTTCCATCGACGGCAGCGTGATCGGTGCGTTCGGATC